GTTCTACTTAACAAAATGTTTTACGTCCTTAGCTGATATAATTATTTTGAGCATTTAGCAATTCATCAAATATTATTCAATATGCACTATGATGATCATGCTTTGATGAGTACAAGGATAAATCAAGGACCAGTCAGCCCTCGACCTCCAGGAGCTTAAACCTGGTGGTCAAAGAAGATTCTAAAATGTTAGATAAAGCAAGTCTGAATTAAATATACTTAAAGCAGTCTATAGAGAAATGTAATATATATGCAATGATATATTTATGCATTATATATTTAATATATATGAAATGATCCTCTGTTTGGAAGCTTGGTTAGAGAAAGATACCTCTACACTTCCTAGATCAAAACTTCCATGTCATATTATAGGCATTATCTACCTGCAATATAACTTCCTAGAATCAACCTTTCCCCAAGATCACACAGCATCAACTTTTGAAGAGTTTTGGGGTTCCATAGAAAACTAAGAAAATTAACTAAAATATCATCAATATAAAAAGTACACTTTAACATTTCAATATATTTCATAGTTATTTTGAAATGGATAATATTATATGTAAGAGGATTGAACCAAATAGTTATGATCCTGGACCATAACATGTATAATATTCTCTTGGTACTTTGTTTAATCCAATAGCTATCCTCTTATGAGATCGTCTCAAACAGATGTTCACAATTTTGTTGAATAATGAGTTGTGGAATATAGAAAAAAAACCAATTTTTTAATCTCAATTCTTTTTGTTTTTATTTTCATAGTTCGTATCATTTTATATGCTGTATCATTTGTTTATTTTATTTACTGGTGATTGTCTATCTGCTCTTGCTAAAGTATAAGCTCTAAAAGCACACAGAGATCTATTTGTTTTACTGCCTGGTGTCTCCAAAGCACCTAAAACAGTGTCTGCTGTTCAATAAATGTTTGTTGAACAAATGGATGGGCTGCCTTATTTAATATCAATATTAGGAGAACGAGGATTAACCATCGGGCATAATCTTATAGTCACAAAAGGATAAACGAAAATAAAATAAACTGAAGCAGAACACAAATAAGTACAAGCTTTTGCTTTACACACATTTCTTCATTCATCAAAGGACTGATATATTTTCTTCAAGGTAATATTCATAGTTTAAGGAACAAATTAAATTTCTCGGCTCAATTTTTATCTTTGGGAATATCTTTACGAAAGGCTTGGGTTTCTCCATTGTGTGTGTGTGTGTGTGTGTGTGTGTGTGTGTGTGTGTTTACATGCAGGCAAGTAAAAGACATTAACACACAAAAATCCTAGATGATATAAAATATAATGAAGTAGTCAAAGTCTAACATTTAGTGGAAATTTCTTTGGAAAAATTCCAAAGAAGGTTGCTCATTTTAAATATGTTTAGATTCAAGGATTCAAAATAAAATTTAGAATATGTAAATCCCACACTGTTTCTGCCATATGAAGAAATATTTCCTGACCAAGCAGACACGGCTGCTTCTCTCCTCCCTCTGAGCTCTTATCTCCTAATTCACACACATGATCATTTAGTTAGTGCTCTTCTGCGAATTCGGAGTTAACTGGCCAGGTTTTGATACCTCTGGGGCCAGCATAATTATCCTCTGCAAGACAGAATAGTAAGTTTTGTTTGTTCATTTCACCTTGTATTATACACTTTTCCAGTTACTATTCATCATCATTAAGAATCCACAACTAATGAGTTTGTGCATATGTTTATATTCAGTTTGATATTTTGAGGGCAAAACAAAACTTCGCAGTTTATTACAAATGAAAGTGTACATACATGTTGGGTTTTAAGTTTTACTTTCTCCCGATGGCACAAAGAATATTTTTATCTGCAAATATATGATTCCTTAATGAAAAAAACAGCCAGAAACTCAGCTTAATAAAGTTTCACTATTTATTGCTTTTGCTCAATTTATTTAAGTTTCAAAATACATTCAAACCATCTGTACTTGGCCAATAATAAACCTTGATGCTCTTCATTTACTTCTGCTATTTATAAACTTTGAAATCATTTTTATTGTCACTGTAAAAATAAAAAGCCACTTTCATTCTATAAAGGTCTCATTAATTAATTATAAATTGATGATATATGATAGCTTTTCGACTGTTCTAGACGAGTTCCCTCATCCTAGGGTGAGGAAGCCAAAGAAAAGTAATCTTTCCCCTGCAGAACTACAGTGGAATCCACATCCTTTGACACTGGTCTGTACCATGTTCATAGTGTTCCATACAGATTCCCTCTGAGGAAAACAGGTGCGATGAAGCCTGGAAAAATCTTAATAAATGCGGACAATGTCAATGTGACTGGAAAAGAATTCCCAGTGATACTTCTCTAAGTGGGCTGACTTATCCGTGCAGTTGCATAGGACATCAGTGTTCTGTCAGTGTTCTTCAGCATTTTATAAAGAGCAGAATTTTTTCTCAGAACTGTTGAGACACAGCACCATCACTAACTCTAGTTGAGTATTAACTCACATGGTTGTGTAATTAACACTGTCTCATCAAAGAAAAACACAATGGAACAAGATCTCTCACAATTCTCAGGTAAGGGTGGCACTTCCTCTCTATACTATCAAGCATTCTGTGGAAGCTGCGGCAGCCTTCATGGAGGATGCACCTCTCTGCAGCTAACAGTATCGGTGGGGTAATCAGTGTCTGGGTCCTACAATTCTTGAGTCACCGTAATCCTGCACAGATAGACTCAAATCACAAGTAAACTACTCACATAGACAGTGAGAGTCTTGGCCCATACCCAAGACACTGACTTTTACATGTTTTTTTTTTTTTTTTTAATAATGGGTTGTTCCTTAAACACAAACTCACCTAGAAAACAATATTTGTTTATTTATTTATTTTTATTTTAAAGAGATTAAAAGAAAACAAAACAATAAAAACCAAAACATGAGAGTGGAAGCAATAAAGGATTTGAAACAAGCTGCTAGAAAATTAACAATAGTCATTGTATTGCTCATTGTTATCTTCAAACTAGTTGTTCAGATTGCAAAGTACAGGCATGCAAACTAAATCAAGCAATATAAGCAATCATAGTTTCTTTAAAAGAAAGCTTCCCTGAGGTAAGCAATATCTGCACAGAAATATCTGGATCCATGTCATCATTTTACAAAGACTGAAAAGAAGTCTAGATCTGGAGCCCATATCACTGTCGCTATTAGTGGCTGTGCTCAGTTTTTATTGGCTATCTTACCCACACGTTTTCCCCACCAGGTCTCCCGACCTTCCCTCTTGCCAATCAAGCTCCAGCATCACATGCTATCCATTCTGCGGGCTCTGTGGCTGCAGTTTTGATACAGCTTTTTCTGGTGGAAGAGCTCAGAAACATGTGCACCTGGGGACCACCATTTGCTCTTCGTATATTTTAAGAAACTCAGGAGCATACCTCCGATTAATCTTGATTTCGTGAAAGAGTTTCATCTTGGTGCCATGCATGGTCTCACTTATTTTATTAGGTAATAAGCTATTTTAAATAATGTGATAACAATCTGTCAACTCAGAACACATGCACAAAAGCTATGATCTGGTAATAACATACATATATTATTTCCCTCTCTTTCCCCCAACTCGAACAATGTGGTCATCATTATCCTGCTTTCATTTATATGTAGTTTAATTGCATTCATTTCTACTTAAAGGATAGACATATACATGCACATATACAGTCATTTTAGTTTCTAATTTTATTACAAAATAATCAGGCTACATGTAAACCTTTATAAACCCTAATATTCTTTAACATTATACTGTTGAAATTGATCTATATAAGCATATATTGCTTCAGTAACACATTTGGGTTACTCTTCAGAATCTATAATGATTTGTTCTGTCTCACATTCTTCACAGGATGTATCAACAGCCAGATTTATTGACTTGCTTATATTTTTTTTTTGTCTGCTTCTCATCATTAGGGCACAGTTTCTTCAGTTTCTTTTTAAAGGACAGTAATTTTTTATCTTTTTCACAGCAATATTTCAAAATATTCGTTGAACTAATATTGCAAAAGTAAATAAATAAATTACTCACTACAGACAAACTGAAGCTTCTTTCATATGTCAATATATCAAGTTGTTTCTTATTTCATCCTTTTCTGTATGTTTTCCCACAACTCTGACATAAAGATTAGCTCTGTGATTTTAAGCAATTTTACATACATACCTAATTTCACGTGTATTTACTTATTTAAAATATCAAAAAAGTCAGTACTAAGAATGTGTTTGTGAAAATTAAAAAGGAGGCCAATTATAAAAATACCTGAAGCATATTAAGTGTTCAATAAACAGTAACAAGTCTGACTGTTATTCTGATAATTCCCACATTAACTGAGATGAATACAGACTCCAGGCTGCCTAGTGATTTTTTCATCTGCCAAGGGTCAGATCAAATGTCACCTCCCTCAAAAGCCCTCAAGAGAAACCACCATAATAACTGGATGTAGCAGGAACCTAACACTAGCGCACCGCTCTGAATTTCTTAATCAACTTATCCTCTCCCACAGCCTACACCAGGTCTCCCAGCCTTTACTTAGAAACACAGCCTTTTGGTGAAGGAAGGACTAATTTTCTTTCCTAGGTTGCCAGGCTCATCAAGCACTCTTTGAATGGCTGATTCCTGCTCCCTGGTATTGCAATTCTCTCTGAATTTGAATAGCTTTCCTAACCTGTATGCCAAAAATCAATTAGATTTAAGAAGCTCAAAGAAAGCACTAAATTTGAAGATTCTACTCAGCCGGGTAACTAACTGGAATTTTTCTAAGACATCTTTTCTTGATATGCTCCCCCTCTATATAATTTCATTCCTATATTACACTTTTGAATTAGAGATTTATTTAATAATCAAACTTTAATTTCTTTATTTTTGTCTTTGATCTTTTACATTGCTGTTGTTGATAATATAGTTTTAGTTGATTGTCAGTAACTTCCCAACATTAGCATGAATAAACATTGGATACTTGAAATGTAATAAATGACATCTCCAAATGAAAATATTTCAGTATCAGTGTATGTATTATTCGTATTTCTATTAATGCATCAAAGATGTTTTAATATTTAAACAACTCACTTGAAAAATATTAGTATCAGGAATATTCAAAATAATAAGGTGAAATGTGGTTGAATTTCACCAATATGATCCTTTAATTACACAGTTTTATTAATTTTGCACCATGTATTAATAGGGTTATAAAACAGTATGATTAACAAAGCCTACAGTCAAACACTGTGACAGCCACAGAAGGCAGAAGAATTAACATTGATGGGCACTTATTCTATAACACTTAGATAAAATTAAGTGAAATATATTAAAATATAGATTGGAAAAAATTAATAAAAATCATCAAATATCATTTCTCATTACAAGTACAAAACCAGGAAGCTGAACTTTCTAATGCTTTAGTTATTAATATCATAATGAAGTTCAGTTTAACGTTAGTTGTGCTTCCAAGGTTTTTCAAAATTTCAGACTAAATTGGCAGCTAGGTACATGGCATAGTGACAGAGATAAAGAATTCACCAGGTAGGGGAAGACAGCCTTCTGGGCTACTGCCAACAAGTCCAGTCTAACACGAAGAGCCTGCTTTTCCCAGGAAGGCTCACAGGATGTGTGCTACTCACTGCCTTATCTAGATTGATTAAACAATGATAGTAGCTTTCAAAGCTTTTAAAAATGCTTAGCCTATTGTTGCTCCATTTCATTATCAATAATTTTTGTAGCATAGACTTCCTTTCCTCTAACTAGTCGAAGAGACTAACAATGACATTATTTTCTTTGGATAGGATTATAATCTAAGGAGAAAGGCTGAGAGAAATCACTGGACGTTCATGGACCCTACCATAAGCATTAAATATAATTTAACTACTTTAAACAACTGTACTGCTTCCACAGCATTCACAAAAATAAATAAGCATTCACGTTTCTTTTTTAGCAGGGAACTAGGCTGGAAATACTGCAAGGGCTGAACAAATGTGATGTAAAGTCAAGATGACACATTCATTTTTGTTTTCTCCAAGAAATTCTTCAGTTGTCTCTAGGTGGAAATGACAAAAGGTAAATAACTCTTTGAATACAAAAATTCATATAGCCACTAAAGCTTTATATACTTATCATGTCACTATATTCAAATTGGATTTCCGTAAATATTAACCATTATCTCACTCTCCTGATAAAATCTGCAGAGAATTGAAACAATTTCATAGATCTGAAAGGAGCATTGATTATTGTAAGTAATGCATATGCCTGGCTATTTTATCATCACTGATACCAGAGTTTTATCTTACAAATTAATAAGAGATTGTTTGGAGTATAGCACTCTTCCCAAAATACATTATTAAAACCCCAATGGGCACTTTTTTTTTAAAATGTCACACATTTTTATATATGATTCTATTTCTATAACATAGTGAGCATCCTCATACATCAGAAGGGTCAGATTCCAGCAACTGCAAGTTCAGAATGATGGTGAGACTATTACATAAACATCTGATCCACTCTGGCTAAGGGAGGGGAATAGAGGTCAGAAGAAAACCTAAGCACTCATTCCTTGCCTAAATGTATTCTGCTGAAATGGCTCCACACATTCAAAAAAAAAAAAAAAATATATATATATATAGACTGTGGAGTAACTTCTAAATTAGAAAAAAATATCTTCAAATTTCATTTTGAGACTTACGAAGTCGACGGTAATTTACCAAACCTTTCTGAGGTTTAGTTACTCTTGTGAAGTAAGGATAACACTTAACCTTATGGATAACAGATGAGACATAGAAACTGCTTAGTACAGTGTCTGATAAACAGAAGTACATATTACATCCTATGATTCTTTCTCTCTATCTGTTGCAATGTCTATCAGGATTATTTCAGTATAAGACCATTAAAATGCCTCATATGGCTTCTCAGGCAGGAAGTATAATATTGCACACGGTAAACACTGCACATGTGAGGTAATTTTACAGGTGGTTAATTCAGTGTCACTAAGATACCTTAATGCCGATGTTCTCTTCATTGTTGACTCTTCCATTCTCAATGCCCTCCGTTCCCACCGCTGCCTTCTTATGGGAGAGTAGACCCTTCCTGAAGCCTCTGGCAAGACTCATTTCACACCTCTTAGATATATTATTCACAAGGCTTTAACAGATACCAGGCAAGGAGAATGGACTACCATGGACTCAGATGGTACAAAGAGCATCGCATTTCCTGGAGGCAAAAAAGGCTTAGATTGGCCGCCACCTCAGGGACTCACAATAGGCTCTGTACAGATATTAATTTTCGCTTCAATGCCTTCGTGATTAGCATAACTATTCAAGTGGAAGCACTGCAGACTAACATCACTCACATGTCCACTATGAGTCGGCCTAAGCAAGTACTGGGCTGATCTTGATGTAGTAATTTTCAGCTGTGTTACTTAACATACCCATTTTCAAATAAACCTTTTTTCCTTTTGGTACCAGGAATCGAACTCAAGACCTCATGCTTGCCAGGCAGGCACTATGCCATTAAGCTAATCCCTAGTCCTGAAACAAACTTTCTAGAGTAATCCCAATTTATTTCAGAAAGAAAAGTAAATTTGGCTGATTGAGATAAAACATGACAAGTGACTGTGAGATCTGAGGCACATGTGCAAAACGCTCACTTTGAAAGGCAGTGTAGTAGACTTTTGTAGCTCTTCTTGGCCCTTCAACTTTATATCTATGTTATCCTACAACAATTTGCTAGTGTAGCTGTTTGCCCCAAGACATCTTTGATGGTCTACTCATGTTCATCACAGGACAAATGGATAGTATGAAGATAGGAGACAAATTATCACACAACACATTGAAAGGCTAATTGAAAAGCAGGTGCAAAAACAAAAACAAAAACAAAACAAAATCAGAAGCAAAGCTGGAGGAAGGGCCAGACGATTCTCGTGCCCTGAAAGGCGGGTGGCAAATTTTCCCCAACTGTTCAACAACTCACAGACTCCAGCAGCAAATTCCAAAGCACTGATGATAAAAATAGTTTTCACTGTTACCTCAAAGGAGAGGACTCGGGGCTGGGGATTTAGCTCAGTGGCATAAGCGCCTGCCTTGCAAGCAGGCAGTCGTGAGTTCGATCCCTGGTGCCGATAAAAAGGAAAAAGACAAAAAAAATTTTAAAAAAAGGAGAGGACTCACATAAATAGCAGAAACCATAGGTTCCTTTGTTTTGTTTTTGTCTTTTTGAGACAGAGTCTCATTATGCAGTTTAGGCTGGCCTTGAGCTAGTCTTAAAGTTGCAACCATCCTCCTGCCTCAGCCTCCTGAGGGCTGGGATTACAGGAGTACACCACCATGCCCACCTTACTGTTAAACACTTTTTGCGGGGGGTCTGGAACCATAGAGATTTTTAAACTATTTCTGTGTAAATTTTGGTTTTATCAATAAATATATAACTATAAATAAAAGCAGTTGACTTTAAGGAGAAAATAACATTTTAAAAAATATAAAATCACATTAAGAAGTCAGGAAAAATGTATCACTGTGTTAAAAATGAACTAGGACAAAATCTGACCAAAAACTCCTTAAAAGCCTGAAAACTTAAATAATTCGATGTCAGAAGTATGAAAGTGGCTAGTTCATAGTCTGTCATATAATTTCAACCTATTTTAATAGAATTTTAATTTAGAATCTTAATCCCACAAAAGTCAGCATTTAGGGTCAATTGCCCAGTAGCAAGGTCAAACTTAAGAGTAGTTAACAGTTGCTTACTTGAAAAAATATCTGAGGAGTTCACAAAAGATGCAGGCCTGTATGAAGAAACTGGGGACTCATCTCATGGGGGGCTCATCTCAAACTCTAAAGTCACACAGCAATTTTTTACTGATTCATGTAGTTTTAAAATGCTTTTTCCAAGCAGACGTAGACTAAGGCTTCAGTCCTCAGTGATGTACATCAACTCCAAACCTTGTTGCCATCAATGCTATAACATCCTCTGGTGGAACCTGTCTCCTTCGTGTTTTTAGTGGAAGATCTTTGTTTAAGTCCATTAAACATGCAAGAGCTAGTGAAATATTAAATCATAGGAGGACCTTATGGATTTAATTATTACTCCAACCTCTACTTTTTAAACCTTTCTTTCCACTACCAATGATTCCAGCTCCACAAAGGATTATGAAAGGTAACAAGTATGTCTTTTTAACATTGATGGAATAAATCATCCAGCTGACCCACTAGAAACACTGGCTGCAATGTGACTTCTCGGCCATTCGTCATGCTATTTGTCTGTCCAAGTGACAGCGGAAAGGTGAAGTGAGGATGCTCTACCTAACGTCACTCTATTTAATATTCACTTTTCCTCATTTATGTATTTGTTGTATTCATTCAGGAAAAGGACTAAAATACCAGGGAATGTGAAGCATTAGTTTAGAAATGTGGTTGAATGGGAAAAAGAGGATCTGTGACATCGTGAGTAACTTTCTATTTTAGAAGTTCTAAATTTCATCTTCTGATGTGTGATCAAAATGCAGGCACATTTAGCAAATGGAATCATCGTTAATTTGAGCCAGACTCAAAAAACAGTTCATCAAAATCATCATCCTCATTCATCTGTTCACTTTTTCAAATTCCCATCCCTGTACAAATGAGTTTGGTCTTGTGTTTTTTGACACCCTGATAAAGATAAACTCACTGCTTATGGGCATTTTGGCTAAGGGATATTTAAAGGAAAACTCAGTACCATGAGTGCACTGAGATCATATTAAGTGAGAATACAAACAATTATGGATATTGAGTTAAATAACAGTAAAGATGTAAAGGCCGTAGGTGACTTACAGGGGAGTGGGGAATGTCTGAGTATCACTGAATAATTTGGAGTTCTGGGTTTGGTAGAGTTACCTAGAACTAGAATTGGGAAGAATACAAAACAAATATGGGAAAATTTATACTATAGCATATGGGTGGTACAAAGAAATGTTAAGTAGAAATAGACTAACATCAAAAGGGTATGACAGATTATAATGCCTATTTATTTACCTTAAAAGTAGGCTGCATACTATATATCTTGCTTGGAGGATTCACAAAGTTGGGAGGACTGAGTGAATTAATAATAGGAAGGTATTTTGTAGATCGCGGCTGTCCTGCAGGTCTCCAGGAGTGCCCCGCTCCTGATTCAAAGGGAATCTACCACGCAGTTACACTCATGGGTGAAATTTATATAAGGTAAAAAGCTAGCAGAGTAGTCTACCAAAACCACTTACAGAAGTCAGACATAAGATCTGAAGGGAAAGGTTAAAAGCGCTTATGTTTTTGAGCCTGTAGTCAAGTGAATGACTTCCAAACTCCCTGTAAGTATATAAAGAACCCTTCGGTAGATTTTCCCTACCAAAGAAAGTGCCAGGGGCTTAATCTAAGCCATAGAGGATTTCAGTTAAAGGAGGAATTTACGGACAGCAGGAGAGATTTAACGCTGACACATATCACAAGTTCTCCTCTGAGCACATTAACATCAAAAGACATGTGTAGCTATGTTTAAACTGCTGAGGTTTGAATTTATCTCTTAGAACTGTCTAACCTTGGGCAATTTACCGAACTTCTCTGTGCATCAGTAGTTTCCTCATCTGTAAAAAGTGAGACAGTTGAGTTTTGAGGAATGGTAAAGACTGTACATATGGAAGCCCTAGAATAGGCTCCTGCCATCTTAGGAGGCGCTGGGTCCCCACCAGCTCACACTGTCACCTCCTACAATAACCCAATATGTCCTTTGGGGATGCAAGGGATGGTGAAGGGTGACAGACAGTGGAGCAATGAGGTTGCGGAGACAAAAGAGAAATATTTATATCTTGAAGCAATGTGCAGACTGCTGGGGAAAGTGGTCACAGGCACACTTCGGGCAGAGGGCTGGCTGCAAGGCTAAGGAGATTCACTTGGATGCCATCAGATGGTGCTGATGGCTGCAGTCACCGTGGAATCACAGAGGGAAAGAGGGTGATTAATGTGTGGAAAGCTGACAGTGAAGTCCTCTGTGTCCTCACTCGAAATGTTTACTTTCAGATAGCACAACATAGCTTACCCAAAGCTTCTTGAGTGAGTTTCCAGAAGTTTGGGTGTATGAGTGATGTCTCTATTTCTGTCTCTGTCCCTCTGTTTAAACAGACAACTTTATAAGTGTTAAATACAATATGTTATATTACTAGGGACAAGTGTAGCAGTTAGCTATTATAAAAACTAAGATATTAAATGGGAAATATTTTAACCATTATTTCCTCTTTGATTTCATTTCAAAATACAACTACTAAGAAATTTAACACTCTTCATTGGTATTTTAAGCATTCTTATGTTTTTGTGAACACATCTAAACATGCCATTATAAAATTACCCTGAAATAATATGATGTAAAAATACAATGGTATTATTAGTTTTTCTTAATGATATGTATTTTATAGCTTGAAAATTTAACTTAAATAAACATATCATCCTATAAATATACTAATGAATCCGAGGTTAGAACTAGAACTGCAGTGGAGGTCACAATCACTGCTTTGAGGTTCACTGAAAACCAGATCACCTTCCAATATGGTAGAGTTTACTAGCACTGGTAGCACCAATGCTAGTAAACTCTGATTTTTCACCCAAGAAAAAGCTATTTTCTAAGCATTATACTGTGAAATTTGCTTACAATGGGGCAAAAGGAAAGCAGAAATGATTTACCAACTGCCTAAGCCAAAGCAATTTTACTATCCAAGTTTTCTAAAATCTTAAAACAACAATGGGCCACCTCCTTGCTTGGAGTTAAGGATGGCTTTTTACATAATGCATCCACACATAAAAGAAGAGGCAAAATCTGGAAAGAAAAGCAAGAAAATCTCTTCACTTTTTCATATCTTCCCAAGCCTTTATTCACAGTTTATAGAAGTTTCCACCCATAGTTGACTGGTTCGATGGCAGGGTGGCACATGTGAGCTCTCATTCACTTAAAAAGTAACTTTTCATGGAGAAAAGCTCTGGAAGGTAGAATCAGAAATAAAACTTGATATTTAAGGAGTACAATGCACTTATGGGATGAACATAGAAAACACTGTGTTGAAGTAATTAGTTAAAATGTATTTCAAATATATTCTGTCTGGTTCCCCAAACTGCTCTCAACTAGATTTTTACAGATGTTATAATTATTTTCCACAGTACAGTGTATCCACATGACAAAATGGTTGTCACAGGTCTTCATCATTATCACTATCACAATAAAATATCTGCATGTCTTTTTTCTCCTGCAGTAAAATTACTGATTCAAAAATTCGATGACTGGGGCTGGGGATTTAGCTCAGCGGCATAAGCGCCTGCCTTGCAAGCAGGCTGTCGTGAGTTCGATCCCTGGTAGTGATAAAAAACGAAAAAGACTAAAAAAAAAAAATTTGATGACCGAACTTTCTCTATAAATATATTGAGGCCTTCCTGTGCACTGGAATGACAATTAAAACTGTTTTAAACACTGACTACCACTGTTTTACATTCATATTCTGTCTCTGGAGCCATGTTCTTTGGGAATGTACCAAAGTCTGCATGGGGTTTAAAAAAAAAAAAAAACATGCTACCACTCACTGTTTAGTTTTAAAAGAAGAAGAAGTAAAGTATGTTTTTACAATAGCTAGAGTGTATGTGTAGTTAGGTGCTGGTTGCTTTACTGAGTGGGTGACTTGGTCCTCCTTCATGCACAGGTAGAGGGACCTGACAGCGGGGCAGCCGCTGCACACAGGAGGATGGCAGGGAAGTCCTCCCCCCTCACACACCACGTATTTGCCTTCTGCATATTACAGACTGTCCCAGGTTACGTGGATTGGTCTGCTTAAGTAACTTTGTAAATACAGCTTTAAAAATTTCTTCCAAAGCCAAACACAGAAAGACCGCAAGAGAATGGCTGGACTAGTACTTCTAATAGGACAACTTCTTCATCTCGAGCATGCAGCAGAAGACACAGTGATCTAATTAAATCTGACAAGAAAGTGAGAAGGTATTCAAAAACATGAAACACATTGATTTATGTCTACCATCATTAATGACAAACCTTGCCTCAGCAAAGTGTTGTACTTGAAATATTAGCTAATAATAGAAGTGTGCTTCTGTAATGTATGAACAAATACTTTTTTTTAATAACAAGGAGAGCAATTTAAAATGCAGAGATCACCCTGTAGAAAACTGTGACAGCCTTGTCTAGGTATTTCACCACATAGGTGGGGCTTTTCAGAGGTGCCCAATTCTAGACCATGTGATGCTTAGATTAAGTGTGATGCGGGGATTAAGGGTGTGTGATTACTAGGTCCACTGGTTGGTCTGGCATGGATAATGGGAAGGTGCACCCTGGGTGTGAGTGCCACCCTAATGGCATGGAGCACCCTGGGTGTGAGTGCCACCCTAAGGGCATGGAACACCCTGGGTGTGAGTGCCACCCTAAGGGCATGGAGCACCCTGGGTGTGAGTGCCACCCTAAGGGCATGGAGTACCCTGGGTGTGAGTGCCACCCTAAGGGCATGGAGCCTGGATAAAATATAAGGACAGAAAACAGTTGTGGTTTGATTGCTTGATACATTTTTGCTACTTTTGTTTCTTTGCTGTCTTCTGTCTGCCATGAACTGGTTCTCCTCTGTGATATCTCTATCAAGTGCCACTCTGCCTTGGAACCAGCCAACTATGGGTGGAAACCTCTACAAACTGTAAATAATTTCCTCCTTTAAAAGTAGGTGTAAGTTATTTCGCCTCAGCAACAAGAAAAGTAACTAGGACAGGATCTTAATGCTTTGGACTAAGTTAAACATTTAACCGGGTTAAATAACAAAATTTACTCTCCCTAAATTCACATAACTAACTGTAAATACTAAAATGTGCTTGCCTTGGTCAATCCTTTTATAATAAAGAATGTAATTCACATGCAACAGAACTGTTTGTACACTAAACACTGAGCATCTGAAATAATAAAATATTAATTTACATAAATTTTTGGATACTTCTCAAAAACTAAAATTAAGTTTTGAAATTTCAGTGTTGGCAAACTTAAGTCACTATTGTGTTTTATAAAATACACTTTTATTACCTCCTAGTGTTTTATTTATAGATAAAGGGGCCTTTGAATGATTTGGGTGACTTATAGGCTATATTAATACCAACAGCTAATATAATCAGAATTAAATTTTTATAAGTTTAGCAAAAAATGTTAAATAATGATTCATGTAGAATTAAATTCTTTTCTCTTTATTTTTCATTTACTTTCCAATATAATTTCAGATATTATGTTATTACTCAATTCATTCAATTTTTTTCATAAAATCAATTGGGAAATTAGGAGATATTTAGCTACATAAAGCCTTCAAATATGTGTTTCATCAATGAAATACAGCCCTCCTGTGATGCTCAAATGTCAATGATCTATTCATGTGTGAATTTTAAAGCAGAATTACTACCTCTATTTGACTCAATTAAAATTAAAATTTTTTATCTCCTGCTAGGTAGTCATCTGCTGAATAGTGAGGGTTTGCAGCCTACTTAATGTGGACAAATATTAAAAAGTAGGTCATAGCTAATTCAGCAGGTAAAATTACATGTGGCATTTTTACCTGGTAATTTCTGCTTCAGTGATCATTTTAAAATGTACCAGAATTACCATGCTCACAGAAACATATTATTTACAGTCCTACCCCAAATTTCTAAACATATCTCCATTCATTATCCAAACTTCATGGCAACAAATAGCAATTTACCAATTCCTGCAATAGGTTCTTGTTTAGGGATTTCTTTTTAAGGTTCATTATTTAAATCCCATATTTTGATTATTTGAAATATTGTTGCTTGCTAAGTAAATGACAGTATCTTTGAATTTTTACATATTCTGAATACCAGAAAAGGCAACAAAACAGCCATTTTTATGATTATTCTAGGTGGAAAGTAATGAGGTCTACATTTAACAAATAGCTTTTCTTATTATGATGATTTGAGATCTGGGGTAAATTGTTTTCTAATTTTTCTGACACAATTTGAAAAACCCATAATGTACCAACTTACAGAAAATTGAGATAAAGATACTGTTGTGGTGCAGATCGAAAGTGCCATCCAAAGACTTCCAGTGCTCATAGGCGGGGCTTTTGGAAGGTAGTTGTATCCTGGGGTAATGTAGCCGACTTGCTGTTGGGAGGCAGGGACTGGCTAGAGCAGCAGGTCACTGGGGCATGACCCGGAGGAGCTTATCTCCATCAGGGCTCTTCCTTTCTCTCTCCTGTTCCTGGCAGCCATGATGTGGGCACCTTCCCTGAATCCAGACCCTTCTACCATGCAGCTTCTGTGTTTAAGCTAAAGGAGGACTGAGTCTTCTAAAACTCTGAGCTATAACACCTGTCCTTTAAGTTACAGAGGTCAGGCAAGTTGTCCCAACTAAGAGGAAAGTGACTAACACATGTACATATGAAAGTCTTTCCTGAGAAAAAAGAAACTCTGATGAAAATAAGGTATTTTTGTATGTGATTATAGGTAATCACAATTAACAGGGCCTTACACAATTCTAAAGGATTATATCACAAACACAATACACAACAGGGCTTCTGTCTCTTTCCAGTGCCATATTGTTGGATGTAAGTCAGAAGAACCACAATTAAATGCTGTCTAAACATTTTATTTTGTTAAATTGTCCAGAAACAGAATTTTAAATTAATGTATTTTTCTTGCTAGTGAGCTATTATGTTCAAGATTTAATTTCCCTCTTTGAATTATCTAAATTTAAATGGTGCTTACATCAAAGAAAATAAATTTGGATTCCTTGAAAAATAGAGGTCATATCTACCTGTTGTCACGGTTACATCCTAAAATGACTGGAACAATACTTGGCTGGTGATTGGCATTCAATAATCATTTGTGGAATGAATAAAACTATTATTCTCGTTAACAAATCCAATAGTTGCACCACTATGGTCCACTCACACTTTTTCTGATTGTCTTATCCTTAAAATTTTAAAATAGTTACAAGCCTAGAATATTTTATCGCTACAGTAATGATTCATATACTTTAAAACATTATGATAAAGTTAAGGAACAAAGACTAGGGAACATGATTCTTACCAGTGGTATTATTTTGTCTGAGGTTTTTAATGCCTTCTCTCTATGTTTATATTTTCTTTTTGACTTTTTACCATCTTTTTTTTTTTCCAAAATGTTTAGGTGCATAACTGATTTTTTTGAGTGGAACTTTTCATTTGGTTGAGAAAAATAATATTAAAAAATCTATCTACACACTCATATTTGTGCTATTGCTTTGAATAGCTTCAATGGAAGACCCACACTCATCACATACACCTGCATGCACACACACACACACAATCATAGCAGGTTGTTTGCATAGTGGCTTCAGATACCATGTTGTACACCACTAGTTGAGAAAAATTGGTATTAAAAGAAAATATTACTGTCCAATTCTTTGAAGAAAAAATCTTAAGGAATTCATTGGATAGCAGCAAATCAATTTTTAAAAATGTTTTTCTAGTCCTCTCTCAGTTATTCCTTTAACAGTTTAGAGATATCTAAACTACTTTTATATTATTTTGCTTTATTCTATGTTAATTATTATTGATTATAAAGTTTTGACTAGCATAAGTTATTTTAATGTTTTAATTATCTTATATACAGAGAACGATTTCCTCTATACTAATGTTACAAATGGATGTTAAACAAATGACCTCATAATCCAGTAGTGTATTCCATTTGTGCTTGACAAATTTAAGACACATATAAATGTAAGCAAGCTCAGCATTTCTAAGGGGATATATGAATGCCTTACTAAGGATATTTAAATTAATTATGATACCTTCACAAATGAATAAAATGAAACTTTGAAGGCTTACACTAAATTTTCAGTTTGCCATAGAGAACAAGAGGGTGGTGTGGGATTTGAATCCAGCCTAACACAAAAGCTGATTGTTTTATTTAAAATGTACTGCTTCACTCATTGATACATGGTATTAAATAAGATACCTGCAATTGATATTTCTTACTGTTTCAAAACCTACATTAATTTTAGTCAGAAAATATTAATATTTTGAACTATGAGATAAATAGACATACATAAAATAGTATATATTAACCATAATAGTTACTCCACACATATTTTGTAGGTTAATTTATTCTTAGGTCCTCTAGCAAAGCCATCTCAGGTATGAAGGTGCTATGATCAGCATCTGGACTGTCACCCCCAAAAGGTTAATATGTATGAGGCTTGATTACCACTGTCACAGTGTTCAGAGGTGGGCTTTTGGAAAGCGATTTGATCATGAAGGAGGAATCCACTGACGAGGTCACATTTAATGCCATCTGAGATTATGGAGACCCGTGAGGTGGCCTGGGGGGGTGAGTGTGGCCTATGCCATGTCCCCCGCTCCTGCTCTTCTCCTCCTCGCTGCTGCATTCCTCTCTCATTCTGCCTCTGGCCACTATCAGCCGAGTGGCTTTGCTCTGCCATGATGTTCTGGCTCAGCACACTTCCAGAAATGAGAGAGTAGCTGACCACGGGCTGAGCCAGGAGCCCAAATAAGCCTTTCTTCCTTTCAGACCATTTTCTTAAGTGTTCTGGTGCAGTGGGGGAAAACTGACTGACACAAGAGAGAGACACCGAATGGGCCAACCTCGGAGGAAAGGGCTGCAGTGGACGGTGGTGACGACAGTGCTCTTCATGGTCCTTGCGGTGCAGGGGAGACCCCCACCCCTGGTATAAATGGAAAGAAGCACAGTCAACATGGAATGGGGCTCTGTTCTGTTTCCAGCCTGTTTCTCCCCAGGAATATCAGCCAGAATTCCTCCCTAAATCCCCACTGCTCAGTAGGCTAGAACAGTTGTCCTCGAAAATAGCAGCCCCAGAAAGATTCAATTGGAATCCACTCTCCATTCCTAACAGTAGTCCCCTCAACAAAGCCTTCCATCAGAATTCATAACACACATCCTCAGCTTATTCTAATGAATAGTCAAGGTTAAGGCCCAGTGGTGTAGAATTTCTCTGTTCAGCAAAGTCATACTAGGTGGGTAAAATCTCATGGGAGGTCATTCACACACACACACACACACACACACACACACACACACACACACACAGAACTCACTGAGTATCATTCCCAGAGAGGAATTTTAAATCTTTGCTTCTCCACAGCTCTTTCAGATGCCAGCCACCAGCTATCATGGTTAACAGACTTCAGGCTTCTCTAGGGATCTATAAAGCTCTCAGTGGCTCACTAGATTGCCTTGGACATAGGTTGCAGGCTAGAATTATATATATGCATGCTCTTTGCAAATGAGAACTTCAATTTTACTTTAATACACTCAACCATTGTAAAGGTTTGGGGCAACACCTTCCTGAACACAAAAAAGAAAATTCCCTGTATTTATGAAGGGCCTCTTATTCAAACAGTTGGATATTATACAAAACAAACTGATCTCCTATTACAAATTTGTTCCATGTTATCTGCTTTTTGTTGGAATGGCATAAGCCTCTCCTCCTACAAGGCAGAAGAGTGATGCTAATTTGTTAGCTCCTTTGTTGTCCAGTTATCAAAAGGCATGAATGACACTTAGGATTTGAGAGCATGCAAATTATTTCCTAATCTTCATATATTCCCTGAATAGTCAATTAGTCTTGAGAATGAAAAGAGAGGAAAGGCCTTTATTCCCAACAAAACAGCATAGCTGACAAATGTTTTGTTTTTTTTAAACTACAGTAACATTTAGTTTGATTCTTTTTTTCATTTACTATAGGTGTCATTCATACTGTCCACTACAGAAGAAATTATCCCCAGGGAATCTCCCTCTATCTGTTAGGGGTTTAGCCATATCACTTGCTGTAACAGATGAGATTAATGCAACTTTTCAATCATCTTTAAGCAAGAATATTCAGATGTTTAGCAGCTGCCCAGCTTCTTAAGAACTCACTAATCCTTTAATCTCCAGACACTTTTTTTTCATAAAAGATTCACAAGCAAAACAAATGCAATATGGATCAAAAAATTTAATCAGAATGCTTAAAATGCAATTACATTCATCAGGGTGTTCTGTTAGGCTGGGTATTAAATCTGGGCTTTATTCAATATCCTCCTTTTATTATAAAGCAATATTTTTCCACTCTGTAAACCATCTGATCCCTAGGCTAATGTCCTCTCTGCCTAAATATTAAAAAGGGAAAGTGCTATGAAAAATGAGCTGTAGAAATATTCTACTTATTTCAGAGGTAAAAGTTCAAACCTGATTATCCCTGAAATCATGTTTTATAAATGACCAGCTGATTTGACCAGCCAGAATTCTAAAGCTATGGTCTCACACAATCACAATAATGCTATTTTAATGTCAAATGTATATCCCACTATATGCCTCCTCAATTGAGCAAAAATGTCGATGATTTGAACTTGCAAATAATAGGTTATTGCTCCTAATTCAGTGTTTGCAAAGTTTAAGGGCAGGGGTGGTTTCTTTATGTGAGCAGAGAAATCTCACAAGGTAGGAAAAATCCATCATGGTGATATTTCTTCAGTTCTCTATTTCACATCTAATAGCACTCAACTGTAACATAGCTTTGAAATAAAGAGCTGTCCAGCATAACGTGATTTGAAACCGTTGGGTGCTTCTTTTAAGTCTACACTCTAGCTATGACACAGTGGTTGGAGTTTTCTAAGCCATATGGAAGTTAGGTGAAGCTGTAGAGGGAGTTCAGGAGTTTCCAGTGACAAGTGCCATCCTTGGAAAGAGGAAAATCTGTTCAAAGAAAGATGCAGAAGCACTTAGACCTTAAGTCTCAATTAATATTTAATGGATTGTGAGCTGGGATGTAGCTCAGCAGCATAGCACCTGCTTGGCAAGCATGAGGTTCTGAGTTCAATTCCAGGTACCAAAACAAAAAATGGACATAGATTGTTTGTAAAATACATAAATGGTCCAATTATGCACTAAGCCAATCTGCCTTCTCTATTTAGACTGTACTCTGAATTAGTGCGCCCTGAGACTTGTCACAAAGCAGTTTGAAATCTAGACATTGAAATATTTTCTCCTTAGACTCAGTCAGACATCAAAAAAAAAAAAAAAAAAAAGTGAACTTCACTAAAGCGATTCCATTTCTGAGTGACAAGTGCATACCCCCTTGTGTCCTGTGTTGGACAGCCTGGCTCAGACAGAGCAAAGCCTGAATGATGCAGAAAGAAATACATTGGTACCTCGGTTCATGAACTTAATTCACTCCAGAATTCTTGAAAAGATGGCCACGTGCATGTTCCTGTGGGAAAGATGGCCATGGCTGTGTTTGTCACTTGATGCAGAGTTAGGAAAGAAAAACAAAATGCTGCCAAATGCTTCTGTTTGGGCACGTTGCTTGCAAGCAAAAGCATTCATGAACTGATGTACCACAGTACAACCAAAAAGTGGCATGTAGTATGGTGTAAGATTTCTTCCTTTTAAGAGACTGAAAATGAATCCTGAATATTGACATGATCTTTAGTCTGGCCTAATGGATTAACATGCCACATTTCTGTGGCCTTCCATTCTCACCTGAACCAAGGGCTATCTCTAGAAACTTGGAAGGGAACACACCTATTAATATTATCTCTGTACATCACTGTTATCTTTGTAGGTTGGTTCAGAAGTAAACTAAAAGTAAAGGTAGATCAATCCTTCAACTTGTTCAAAATTGTCAATTTTCTAATACTACAAGCAGCAGAGATTCCAGATAAGAAAGACAATGAAAAATAATGCATGAGTAACAACTAGAAACATACCAAAGTGAAACAGTCATGTGTCAGAAGCATGCTTCTACCAGAGCCTTGGCTGACCTGACCTGTGTTACATTCTAGTTCTTACAAAACCTAAACTTACTTCCAAAAATGTAGGAAACTGAAAAATGAGTATTTGAGGAGGCAGTGATTCAGGTTTTCTATGTAATTTATTCTATGATCACTTTTGTTTGTTTTGTTTTTTGTACTGGGAATCAACTCAGGACTTTGCCTTTGCCAGGCAGACGCTGTATTGCTAAGAAGCCATATCCATGGTCCATCATATTCATTTCTTTTTTAAAATATGTGTTTAGTTTTACACTATAAAAAAGCAAATTGGTATGTTTGTAACCAATAATCACTTGTTTTTTTTTCTCAGTAGGATTACAGAAAACAGCTTTGCTCCATGAACTTCAACATGGAAAAATTTTGTGGCTAGTAATTTCTGCTTTATGGACACATTTTTATAACTCAATCTGGACGATCTTTATTATGAAGGTATGTTAATATCTAACACTGGTAAATATGTTCTAAGTGAATGAAGATATGGTTCATCATAATTACATAAGAATTTTGAGTGTCATTGAGTATGATCCAAAATTTGAGATAGAATTTTTACTATCTCAAATTTTAAAATGGCTTAACACAATCTTAATGAAACAATGAAAGCATTCAATTATTGTAGTAATAACAAAAATATCTATTTTATCTAAGATTTATTAAGATTAATATCTTTCTTAATATTCTTTAAAACAGAAATATCACAGTAGCTGTTAGATCTTCTGAATAGCCCTTGTTGACACATTTAAATTTACATTTTATTATTTGAGTGTACAAGAATCTAAACTTTGTAGTATCTTAAAATAATCACTATTTGATTTACTTTTAGATATCCAACAATTCTAAGAAAAGTAAAAATAACTGCATGTATTAGGCTTTAAGGTAGAAAATCGGGGGCTCAAATATGACTCAGACTCAACCCTGTTTGTCTGACGGTTGATATCATTCAGAAACTACAGCTTATCTTAAATTGTTTCAGAGGCTCTTGAAATGATCATGTTTCAAACTCATCTGCCTGTAATGAAACTAATCAAATATAAAGTAGCATACAATAATTTGTGAGCAAAAATTGAGATGACTTAATCTGACCTGATAAAATGAGTCTCAGTAAAAAATAAAAACTATAATACAAAATCCACAAATGATCCATCCCATCAGTTAATATGAAATATTCAAACAATTGTAAGATCTATAAGGAAAATAATTCACATACTAAAAATAATTTGACAGAAAAATGTCAAAATGAAAAAATATAACAAAAATATGTCAATAACATGAATAGCTTTATCTAGTTCAATCCAGAAGGTAATTTTAAAATTATCACTAGGTCAAAATAGTCAAAGTAAAATATCTATTAGGTCAAAATGATGCTGACCAGTTATCTTGAATTCATTAGAGTTTTATTCTTTGGCAAACTGAAAGCTATTGCTTCTCATTTATCAGAGATATAGCACACATTCAAAATAGGTAAGAAATATATAGCACACATTCAAAATAGGTAAGAAATACATGAGTTAGATAACTTGGTTACTGTAAAGATGAATTTTTACAACATCATGAAATGATTGTGTTTATCAGGATCATAGAAAATACTCGAATAAATTTGTTTTCTAGATTTTTTTTCTTTTATTGTGATGAGAGGTCAGGAAATGAGAAAAATGCATTACATGTTTTGAATAAGTAGCTTCAGTAGTAATTTATCAAGAATAGTCTCAAGAATTGTTCTCAAATGAAAACTGAGCTGATCTGAGCAGATGTTAAGAATTGTATGCTTAATTTTATTAAATATTCTGAATACTATCTATTGGGTTGGTGCTTTAGTTAAGCTAAGTAAGATAAATTATTTTCTGCTAAAAGGATATTTTGTGCAACAGTAAAAAAAAATAATTAAATATTAATCAGC